TTCGTCATTAAAAACATCAGGAACCCTCCATGACATTCTTCTATCTTAACTGTGCTTGTTCATTTGATGAATAAACTAGCTTGATAAGGTCCATTCTAAACATGCTTAAGACCTAGCACTGCAGGTGCTCGAGTGTCAACAACGTAAAAGTCCAACATCATGTCCCTTTCCTTGTATTTGCATTTGAGAGTGCATGTGCCTTTTACTGGGAGCTGTTCCCACCATAACCAGTCAGTCTGAGCGTGGTGGGCTGTAGCTCACACTCAGATGTCAAGCTTCTGTACTTATCAGAGGAATAATGTTTACTTGTGCACCAGTGTCTAGTTTGAATTTTAGCTCTGTGCCTTGTCTTCCTATCTCAATGTCAGCAAAGGCTTGCTCTGTCTCTGATATCTGACTTTTCTGTGTCACTGACATCAATAAACAGGTTCATCAGCATTTGACTCTTTGATTGACATTTCATCTTCACTCACTGTATGTACTGTTTTTCCACGGTAAACTCTGCACACTTTTGCAAAGTGATTCCATTTTCCACATTTAGTACACTGTTTGCCTTTAGCTGGGCAATTCCCCTGTTCGCCATGCACTTGTATCCACCAATATCCCAATGTTTTGTGGTGTTTGGAGTCTGTGTCGCTCTGTTTTGGAGTTCTGTCTTCCCGTCTGAAAACATGCTCTCTGGGCACTGGAGGTGTGCTGTCACACTCTGGTTCTAGGACTTTTTGTGTTTAGTCAGGGTGTGTAGATTTCCGTGTGTTGTGTACTGTGGGTAGTGTCTAGGTGTTCGCGTTCTATGTTTGGTCAGGACTCCCAATCGGAGGGTAACGATTGTCAGCTGTCGGCTCGTTATCTCTGATTGGGAGCCATATTTTAAATGTCTGTGTTCACCTTGTGTGTGGGTTTTTGTTCTTTATTCAGTCGGTGTAACTGAGGACGTCACGGATCGTGTTTTGTTTTGTCGTGTGTTTCAAAATTAAAATCATCATGTTCACTCCCAACGCTGCGCTTTGGTCATACTTCATTGGCGATCGTGACAAAAAAAACCCACCCACAACAGGACCAAGCAGCAGTTGGATAACGAGTGGTGGAGCCAGAAGAGCGAAGGTGGGAGAGGACTATGGAGGCCTGGTCCACCGAGAGGAGAGACCCCCAGAAAATTTTTAGGGGGGGGCTCACGACGTCGGGGCAGAAGGTGTACGGCCCGGAGGAGTGCAAGAGGTTGGCAGAGATGGCCCCAGTTTAAGGGGGCCACTGTTACGAAGGGGATGGAAAAGTGTGGAGGCACGGCGAGAGGTACTGGGGGGTGTTTCCAGTCCGGTCCGGCCCGTTCCTGATCCCCGTGTAGGGCCAGGGGTGTGTGTCCCTAGTGCGGTTCTGTCTGTCCTGCTCAACGCACCAAGCCTACGGGGTGCGTCGCCAGCCCAGCCCGGCCTGTCCCTGCTCAACGCACCGAGCCTACGGGTGCGTCGTCAGCCCCTGTCCAGCCAGAGCCGTCCGCCAGACAGGATCAGCCAGAGCTTCCGCCAGACAGGATCAGCCAGAGCCTTCCGCCAGCCATGAGCAGCCAGATCCTTCCGCCAGCCATGAGCAGCCAGATCCGTCAGCCAGCCATGAGCAGCCGATCCGTCAGCCATCCATGAGCAGCCAGATCCGTCAGCCAGCCATGAGCAGCCAGATCCGTCAGCCAGCCATGAGCCGTCCAGCCAGGATCCGCCAGAGCCGTCCAGCCAGGATCCGCCAGAGCCGTCCAGCCAGGATCCGCCAGAGCCGTCCAGCCAGGATCCCGCCAGAGCCGTCCAGCCGGGATCCGCCAGAGCCTTCCAGCCGGGATCCGCCAGAGCCTTCCAGCCGGGATCCGCCAGAGCCGTCCAGCCAGGATCCGCCAGAGCTCCAGCAGGATCCGCCAGAGCCGTCCAGCCGGGATCCGCCAGAGCCGTCCAGCCGGGATCCGCCAGAGCCTCCAGCCAGGATCCACGCACCAAGCCAGGGGCGCGTGTCGTCGGGTCCGGTCCGGCCAGCGGGGCTAGGCAGGACCAGGGGTACTTTGGGGGTTGGAGAGGAGGGGGGAGGAAGCCCGGAGCCGGAGCCGCCGCCGAGGAGGAATGCCCACCCAGCCCTCCCCTGTTTGCTTGTAGTTAGGCGCGGTCGCAGTCCGCGCCTTTGGGGGGGGGTACTGTCACACTCTGGTTCTAGGACTTTTTGTGTTTAGTCAGGGTGTGTAGATTTCCGTGTGTTGTGTACTGTGGGTAGTGTCTAGGTGTTCGCGTTCTATGTTTGGTCAGTGACTCCCAGTCGGAGGTAACGAGTGTCAGCTGTCGGCTCGTTATCTCTGATTGGGAGCCATATTAAATGTCTGTGTTCACCTTTGGGTGGTTGTGGGTTTTTGTTCTTTATTCAGTCGGTGTAACTGAGGACGTCACGGATCGTGTTTTGTTTTGTCGTGTGTTTCAAAATTAAAATCATCATGTTCACTCCCAACGCTGCGCTTTGGTCATACTTCATTGGCGATCGTGACATGTGCTTTGATGTCTGCCTGACTGCGTGCACTGCTTGTTCACGTGATGCGCTCGTGCTGCCGCCTGAAATGGTTTTCATCTGAACCTGTGCTAGCTCGTGAGATCTGGCTATGTCGATAGCTTTGTCCAGCGTTAACTCTGATCCAACATTCAAAAGTTTCTCTCTCACTCGCGGTGAG